AGTCATATGCAGTTCACGTGACGGCAATAAACAATAACAATGCTCCATTGGGATGCTTTTGTTTCAGCGAGCCTAATTTGAAATATGTCCTTTAAAACAATAGGCATTCTGCGCCATGAACAAACACGTTATATAACTGTTTTCTTGTTGATATAACTAGACGAGACTTGCTTAAAAGGATWAAAAAAATACAGAATTGTTAAATGGCCGACATGTCTCGCGCGCGTAACGTTGTTCAAAATATCGCCTTCAACCCGCATTACTCGACTGAAGACCTGACTAAAGATGAGTACGTCAACATGAAACCAATCCCAAGGGCAAAACATACGAACATAGCATACGAAGGATATGTGGACGATACTAGATGGCATCACCACCATTACGAAGATCCCTCTACTTTGACTAACAAAGACGTGCTCGCAATTTCTTCCCATCGCAGAAGGRATAACGASCTTTACGAGCCTACAGGTCCATTGCACTCCAGAAAACTGTTCCTGGAGTCGTTAGATTCTTCGAATGATAGTCGCCCGGTAAAGAATGGTAAAGATTCCTGTTTGAGTAATTTAGTGCTGTTCTTGATTCTCGTCGTATCTGTCACTGCTCTTGTACTCGTGGTGCTGCTGATCATGGGGTTTATTGGGTCTACATGTTCATGTACAGGACAAGGTGAGTTATCAATGATATCAAACCCTGAAACACAGCTAATCCACAGCTCGAACCCTGAAACCACCTCTGGTCTGATCTAAGTCAGGGCACGGCTAACTYACAGATAGAACCCTCAAACAACCTCTGGGCTGATCTAAGTCAGGGTAAGGCTAACTCGCAGATAGAACTCAGTGAAACATCCGCTTGGCTGATTAAAGTCTGGGTACGATTACTCACATATGCACATCGAACCCTGAAACAACCTCTGCGCTGTTCATATCAAAGTCAGGATGTGGGCCAATTCGAAGATCCAATTGTAAATTAGCTTGTTCGATTTTGAGGCAGGCAGAAAATCGGGAAAAAAACAACGCTTGAACTGGATCAGGGAGAAAACCCATTTTGTGGGTGACAGAAAGGTGATTATAAGCTCTAAGGTGCTGCACTGACGTGTTAAGGTCTTAATGAAGAAAGGTAGTTAATTGTCTTTTGAGTTTAGGCAAAGTGACTGGTGTACCAAAGGATGATTAGATAGATATTCATTATATATCACTGTACCAGGTTSGTGTAGTTTTGGGATCCTAAACTCTCCAAGGATCAGAGGGACACAGAATTTCTCTTAGTTTAGCTTTATGAAGTGACGACAACAGAAGGAGAATAAAAGACTGAATTCCTACGGCAGAACAACACAAATGATTCACAATTAATTTTTAGCAAAATGTTCTAGTTGACGGTTAAGTCGCTGGTAGAACAGAGGGCGTGGATTTTAGTCCATCAGTTCTTCACTAGCTATTTTTCCTAATTCCTCATTTTGTGCGGTCGCGACGGATTTATCTCAGCGATCAAGAAGTTATGCAGATATTCGTTGGTTTTCATCATAGTTAATAGAGGAGAATGGTTAGGAAACCTATTGTTATCAGGTCTTTGTTCGCTTTTGATGTTGAACCGGTCTTGACGGTGCACAATTTTGATTTGTTCATCCGAAATTGCAAAATAAGTAAACATAAACTTTGTGTACGGGATTGGTGTAAGGAATATTCAAATATCTCTTATAAATCTTTAAGTATTTTGAACTAGAAGCCAAAAGAAAGATTTTGGTCTGTTCGCTCAGCCATTGCCAACGATGGTAAAACAATGGTAAAACAAAGGATTGTGCACTGTCACGCTTGAAAAAAGTGAACAAAGACATATAACAATAGGTTTCCTAACCATTCCCCTCTATTGCAAAACAATAAGGAGTTTGCTCACTAAGCCTTAGTTATCAAGTCGGTGTTAAGCCTCATGGAATTTGACGTGGAAATCAAAAATAAGAGAGAAAGCAATAGAAGTTGTGGTCTATAAACTGAATGGAATCGTTGAGTTCAGTGTCCGGACTGCACTGATGTGAAAGAGCGCTGAGAGAAATTAAGAGATTGAAGGAGAGAAAAAATCATAAAGTATCGTATACAATACCGTGAAAATCAAGAATTGGATACCACCTTTTTATGTTACAAATATGGCTATTTACTATAAATTGCTACTGCTACTCTGTTGCTACTCAACATTCCAGGGCATTCTTAACTAGATTTTTTCTTAATTTTCTACTACGAAAAGTAAAAGAAACTTCTTTAACTAGATGTTTTTGTCATAGTCTACATCATGGCCTGTGCCGTGTATTTATGGCTCAGAAAAGAGGAGTTTAAACTTTCAAACGTTTTCAAGTTCTCCACAGTTGCCATTTCAATTAGTCAAGTGTTAAGCTTTCAATGTTTGTTTTTCTTGTTTATTTACCGAATGTCGCTATGAATTAGCTACAACTAATATACATCTAATTACACCGAAAATATCTCACTGGCTAAAAACGATCAGTAATAACAAACTTGATAGCGATAAAAATAATGCAAAACTTTATTATTATAAGAGAATATCAAGCGTGTTCTTCAAAGTCAACAGGTATACTATAAACTTTTGTCAATATTATTCAATTATTCACTATCCTTATAAAATGTTAATCTATTTAACATTTGGTCTATTGTTATCATCATCATCCTGAAATCCTTATCAAAAATGTACTTTAATTCTCCTTCCCATCTCCCTGCTCCAATAATAGTCGAGTAGAAAAGTCTTACAAGATTACTGACAAATTTCGATTAACGATTTTCCTAGCAAGCAGTTTTCATTGAGAAAGCGCTGAATAAAAAAGCTATGAAACGCCATAAGTTGAACTCTTTTGTTTTTGTTTATCACAACACACGCATATATTACTTATTGCAATCACTTATTTTAGTAGACAGATTCTATAAACTATTCAAGAGAAAACTATTGAGTAAACTAGTTTGGGTTACGTCGAAGTACGAAACTTCAGTTTAGGAATATAAGAAGATGAATGAACTGAGTAATAGAACGT